GTGATGGGGTGTGAACCGACAGTCTGTAAAGTTTCCCATCTGGTGTGGGTGAGTGATAGTCTACTTTGATTTTGGTTAAGGTAGATTATCATTTACAGTGTAATCAGTGAGGGGATTCTGCAGACTGTTAAGGGTTCAGCCTCCTGATGAATCGGTGAAACTCCGACGAAACAGTTTGTCACAGCCCCTCGTTTGTTGTCCTCTTCTCTCTCTCTGCCTACGGTTTACCGGGCAGTTCTGTTTGTGACGATATATATATATATATTTATATATCTATTTGACGATATATATATACCCTTTTCTCTCTAGGGTGAAGATAAATTACTGGAAAAGGCAAGTGCCACGCTCCACTACACAACACTGTACATGCATCTGTATTCTTTCCGGACCGCATACATTCAAAATGTTGAATTTGTCACAATGCACCTGACCCATACCGTCCAGATGCATGTAGACTGTTGTGTAGTGGAGTGAGGCCCTAGTCCGGAACTGAATGAAGAATGCAGTGTGTGGTGCTCTTTTTTATTAAGTGGGGGGAAGCATCCCTGGCAAATAAGTTCTACTGGACATCGAAGAACTTCTAGTACCTTTTTAGTTTTGCATGTTTTCTTTTTTTTTTTCCAGTCAGAAAACAAAAAACAAAAAACTTTGGGGGTTCGCTCATTGGTGGTTGCGAATACTAAACACAGGTGGAGAGTCTGGAGACGGAACCGAGCTGCGTCGTCATCAGCTCATCTGTATATAATATTATAATTTATAAAGTAAATTAAACTAATAATTTATAATTTATTACAATCAGATCTGCAAATACTGGCTCCTGATTTGCGCTGATTCCATGAACCAGTGGCAATCAACTAATTGATGGTTGGCTTGATTGATGGCTTGCTTGCTTGGTTGGTTGCTGTGTTTGCATGTTTGCTTGCTTGGTTGGATGCTGTGTTTGCATGTTCTTTTTTTTTTTTTTTTTTTTTTTTTTTGGTGGTTGTGGGTATGGCATTTGGTGCAAGACAGGTGGCGATTTCACGCACGATAATGGAACAGGAGGAAGATCTATTTACGGGGGGCGGTTTATTGACGAGAATTTGGGTCTCCCACATTGTGGGCCAGGTGAGAGGGGAAGAAGGACAAAATGAGATGGATGGAGGTGAAAGGGGAAAGGGTCTGCTCGCCGTGCAGACTCAGCTGGCTGTGCAATGGTGCCAATGTTTTTTTTTTTCTCTCCCTTCTCTTTTTCCCATCCTGCCATCCTCCCATCCTCCACCCCCGTGCCTGAAAATGGTACCGATCTTCGGCCTGATGAACTGTGCTTTGCATCTTTCTTTCGTCTTTTTGTTTTTCTGAAAAATTGAATCGGTGTTCGATTTATGCATGTCATCCTTGCACAGGGGCCATGCTAATCTTCTCTCTCTATATATATATATACTATATAGTTAAAACTAGAATGGATGTTGTGAAGGACAGTCTCTTTCGTTCTTTTTTCCTCGTGTAAAGAAAGAACAAGAAGAAAGGTTGCGTTAGGGCTATGGCTCTGTCCCACTCTCTTGGGAGCGTCAGTATGTTTCCTTTCCCACTGGCACATCATGAAGGTTCCCGATTAGTTCCCTTCGGGGAAGGCGCCACGGGTGTTTCTATTCATGCTTGCAAAGCATGAACCTGGATCTAATAACGGCGAGGTTCTTGCTTTCCTAACATGAAAATAGCGCTGGTGGGGTCTTGCCCTCGGTCTCTTCCTCTTCCTCTTCCTCTCCCGTTCGTGAAGTGTCCTTTTTTTGTGTGTGTGTGTGTCCTCTGGTGGGAGGTGCATCTTTTTCCACCTTTTACGTGTGTCCTGTCGAGGAATGTATTTTTAGAGTCGGTGAAGCAGTGGTCGTTGGCTGCTGCGACATCTGCCGACTTGGTACGCTTTTGTTGGAAATAAATTATGCACCGAGGAGCAGAAACGTCTGGCCGGAGCGAGCGGACACGAAGACTCAGATCTGTCTAAACAGGCCTCTGGAGTCTTCCAGACAGATCGGAGTCTTCGTAGTCCTCCAGAGGCCCACGAAGACTCCGATCTGTCTAAACAGGCCACGAAGAGTCCTCTAGTGGGAAGTGCACCTTTCACCAGTTACCTGTCCTGTTCAGCTTAAATAAACAGGCCACAAGAATTGAAATGACAGGCGGCGGGCGAGGCTGTTGATCGCCGTCATTTCGTCCTCTGGAAACCACTAGAATGTATGCTGTTGATCGCCATCATTTCAATTCTAGTGTCCTCTGGAAGCCACTAGAATGTATGCTGTTGATCGCCATCATTTCAATTCTAGTGTCCTCTAGAAGCCACTAGAATTTATGCTGTTGATCGCCGCCTCACCTTCCGCCGTCATTTCAATTCTAGTGGCTTCCCCTTCCTTACCCATCCCACGAAGTGTCCTCTAGTGGGAAGTGCACCTTTTCACCTGTTACCTGTCCTGTTCAGGTTTGCTCTTTTTTTCCTTTTTAAAAAAAAAATTGTCTTAACGTGTCGCACCAAAACAAGCAAGCTTTTCAGTCCAAACGGGCTCCCACATGGTAGTCGGCACCGCCGCTCTATCGAATGCAAAAACATGGGGGCTAATACCCTTACCCTTGTGAGGGTATTATGCCCGACAGCGCGCTCAAGACGTACGTCCATTGACGGATTCCTAGACCTATATGGGGATGAATGAATATTCCTCCTCTTCCTCCTTTGCAGGTAGTCTTTAGAAAATTGCTTAGATGAGTCGGCGAAACTCCGACGAAACAGTTTGTCACAGCCCCTCGTTTGTTGTCCTCTTCTCCCTCTCTGCCTACGGTTTACCGGCCAGTTCTATTTGACGATATATATATTGTGACGATATATATATATATATATATTTTTGTTTTGTTTTTCAACAAACTTTTTACCTCTTCAGAAAACCCGGACAGACAGACAACAAGAGGATCATGATGACATTGCGATGGGAGACTTCCGCACACCGCTAACACGAACACTTCGAACACTTTCTCAAGAACAAGGGATCCATCTGGTAATTCGTTTGTTTTGGAAAAAGAAATATGGACAGCCCTATTACAAATGGAAGAGGATAAAAACCCCGAGGGTTGATGGGCTCCCCAAAGAATTTCGGGAAACCATGTGGCCAGTCACTGTGGGGAACAAAAAAAAAGTACACGGGGTAACGAGGCCACAGTAAAAAAAATGTATAGGAGAGGCGTGAGTGTGTGACCATCAATAGAGAGTACGACGAACTCTAATGAAATAGTACAAGTATCATGAAATATGAAGACGACTCACCGAACGTGCTTACCTGCAAGGCTGCAACCAATCACAAACCCGTCCCTACGGCGAGCGGCTTAATTAAACTCGCAATCGTTTTTTTTTTTTTTTTTTTTTTTTTTTAAATGAAACTCGGCAGAGTTGATAGTTAAACTCGCAATCGTATTTGGTAATTTTGATTAGATGTAGTATGGGCAACTAACTATAGGTTGGCAAATTTGCACATAGGTTCGGAGGGCATTTCCGTAAAAGTCTGTGCAAATCAGATTGAAGTTTCGAGATTGGCAAAATTGCACCTGAAGCGCATTTACAAACTGAAACTGTGACAGCGCCTGAGTTTTTTCCTCGCCCCGCTTAAACCGCCAGTGCTTCTTAAGGTTGTGCCCGTCAACAAAAGCCACAATTGTAGGAAACTTATGTATGGGCCACTACAGGAGCGCCCAAATTCATCCTTGACTAGAAGCTTCTCTGCTCAATTTTTTCCCGCGGGCGATCGATAGTTTGGCCAAGTACTGGTTGGTGGTTCAATAGTAAATTAATACCAACTTTCACTGCCACAATTTTGTTTTTGCCCTCTTCTGTTTTCCTTTTTTGCCGTAATGGTCTTTAGAGTCTAGACTCTAGACTCTTTACCGCCTCGTTGACTGTCCTGCTTTCCGTCGTTTCGTTATTTGTGGTGTGGTTTTCCTTTTTTGTCGTAATGCTCTTTACCGCACCACAAATAACAACAAAAAAGGAAACTCACACCGCTTCTGTCCTTTTCTGGTGTGGTGTGTGCAGGTATCTTATCAATGGCTAATTCCGGCGCGAACACGAATGGGTCTCAGTTCTTCATTTGCCTTGCTCCTACCCCATGGTAAGTTTTAATCCCCTCCATGTTTTTTTTTTTTTTTTGGGGGGGGGGGGGGGGGGGGGGGGGAGAGGATAATTTGCCAAATACCCCCTTAAGTTGAGATATAGATATAGGCCAAAATCACCCTGAAAGATTTGCGCAGAGCTGAAGGCCATTTTGGGCCGAATTGTGTGTGTGTTATCCTCCGTAGGTTGGCATATATCTCAACTTATGATGGAACTTTAATAATTTAATATTTTAATATTTTGCAATATCCTTTTTTTTTTCTTTCTTTTCCGAAAGCTCCTTCCAGGCTTCCACTTCGGACTTGCGATGGTATTTAAAACGTATATTTTATTATTTTGCTAATTATGATTTTTTTTTTTTTTTTTTTAAGCTCCTGCAGCCTTGCACTTCCTTTCTTTTTTTGTTCTGTTTTGATGGACCGTGCCTCGATTTATGCATGTTTGTCATTCCAGAGTGCGCAGGGGCTATGCTGATCCTCTCTGCATCGTTCCAATTTTAACGGATCCCCCCAAGGACGCTCCTTCCTCTTCCTAATTCTTGGGTGAAAGTGCCTTCCTCTTCCTGATTCTTGGGTGAAAGTGTTTTCTTTCTTCTCGTTGCAAGCGGGTCTTTTCTTTTTTTCCTTTGGATGCCACCGTGGCGAGACTCTTTCTTCTCTCGAGTCCCATCGCCTCTTGTCGAAGCACTGTCCACAGTGACACGTCGAATGGGTAATAGATCTGGCATGCAGCACGAACGCCACAATGCCACCCCCGCTTTTTATTTGCCCTGTACCGGGACTATGACCCCAAATGGGAGTGATAGAGGGGGGGTTGCACTCATTCCTGCGGTTCCAGTTCATGCTTGTGGGGTCCTCAAGGACCACATCGAACAGCAAGCGACCGAAATGAGGATGCCTTTTTCTAAATTTTCTTCTTGTTTCATTTCTCATAGGGGTGGCCCATAATCTTATGGTATCGGTAGGACTGCCGTCTTCACCCAAATAGAATGCCTGTTAAGTATCGCCGTATCTGGGCTGAAAGTTGTGCCATATACAGCTATAATGATCGGGGCGTTATATTCGGGTGAAGACGGTAGGTCAGGATTCAAACTTATGATCTGCTCATCAGCATTTATGCTTGTGTCGCATTCAGCCACTCTGTACGATTAGATTCGAACTGGCAGTGTCGGACCTCCTCCATGCACGCACGGATTCGAACCGGCCTCCTCGGCTTCAAGAGTGGAGTTTCTCGACACTACAGCCATATGCCATCAACTGAAAATAGTACCAGCCCTTAACTGTGTTAGCTGGCTCCCTTCCTTTGAGGGTGAAGAGGTACAGATGGCAATGGATACTATATAGACCTGCTCAGTCAATCCCCTGGGTTGCAGGGCAATCAATGCTGGCAGGGCCCATGGTCACTGTTATCATTGTTCTCGAACATTCTCATTGTCTGTATGTATAAGGGACGCTGGACCCGCTTTCCAGCAGGTGATGCTCCCCACCAATAGATGGAGCCGTTCCTTTTTTTTTTTCTTTTTGTTTAACACCCCACCACCAGTGGTGTCTGCTCTTACCAGCACCTCTAGCAGTGGAAGGGAGTTCAAAAAAAAAAAAAAGAACCTTGTTCAAAAATAGATCCATACTGCTCATGTGATCCAGCCATTACTAACTCCACACATTCGTTTCTCCTCCATGCATGACTGTAGTGCCCTTGCCGTACTCCACACACACACCCACACCCACCCACACACACACACACACACACACACACACACACACTTACACACACACACATACAAACACGTGCACACGCACACACACGCACACACACACACACACGCACCCACACAGTTGTGCTTTTTATTTGAGTGTAGAACAGAAATGACAACACAGTGAAACACACACACACACACACACAAAGCACAACACCACAAGCGGGCATCCGCCATGGGGGCAACCGTGACGGCCATGTGGGCTTCCTGGTGTGGATCGTTTTTCGGTGGGACAGTCGTGCCATGCGTTTGTGTGTTGGTGCGATACTACTAAACCTAGGGTACCGGCCGGGCCCCGGCCAGGTCACCTTGTTTGCCCCGGGTGGCCGGGCCGTGCAAGGACCAAAGAAGGTCCCAGCTAAAAAAACGAATCCAAAAAATCTTGGGAAAAAAAAGTGTTATGTTATGCAGAAAATAAACTGAACAACTTTTGCCTCAGGGTCACGACGGAATTCTTTACCAAATTCAAGATAAAAAATAAAATTAAAAAATATTCTTTTTTGTTTTTTTTGGCCCGGCCCAGCCCACTCTGGTAGCCTTGGATAATAAATACAATGTTGTACCCAGAAAAAAAATAAAAAATAAAAAATAAAAATAAAAAAAAAAAATAATAATAATAATAATAAATTAATAATAATAATAATAATAATAATAATAATGACAATGTTGATGTGAATGTAGTTCCTTGTATGTACCACTCTCGTTTCTCTCGATTTTTTATTTTTTTTTATTTTTTTTTGGTTGCGTTCTCTTGATTTGAATGAAAAAGACTCAATTGGAGAGTGATTTGCATCATGATTGATATGGTGATATCAGGTTAAATGGGAAGCATGTCGTCTTTGGGCAAGTGGTTGAAGGGTTCGGGGTTTTAAAGGCTATGGAGACTTACGGTAGCAGAACCGGTGACACAACCCAGGATATCATTATCGGGGACTCTGGAGTTGTAGAAGATTCTGCCTCAGCTCAGCTCTTAGGTCAGTCCACAATTCCACATCCTCAATTATTCAAATCATTATGAATTTATGACCAGATCCTTGTGAACTATCTTGTTGAATGATGGATGAACGATGATCTTCATGCTTGGTCTTCGAGCGATGGTGGTAGTAGTATACCCCGCCGATGTTTCAGAAGCGCTTATGTTCACGGTAATTGACGATTGCTTTCAGTCTGTGTTTTGCAGCTTTTTGCCTGTGATAATTGAGAATGGTTGCTGCTGCTTTATTCTAGTTACAAAGCAATGTGTATTCTCTCTCTCTCTCTCTCTCTCTCTCTCTCTCTCTCTCTCTCTCTCTCTCTGTGTGTGTGTGTGTGTGTGTGTGTGTGTGTGTGTGGATGTTTCCCCCCACCCGCACTTTCCATTTTGCTATCTCTCTTGGTTGCTTGCTCTCTTTCTTGTCTTTGACTCCCCAGCCTTCAAAGTGAGTGGTCGTCGTGGAGTTTTCATAGAGTTTTCATAGAGTTTTCCTTGTACCTACTAGGTAACGTTGATGGAAATTGAGAATGGATCTTCTGCTAGAACGCGGAAATATACACCGCCATATTTTTGTCAAAGGGCCTCGCTCCGCTACTCACTAAATGTGCAAAATGAGAATGGATCTTCTGCTAGAACGCGGAAATATACACTGCCATATTTTTGTCTTTAGTGAATGTGGCGAGTAGTGGAGCGAGGGCCCACCTTTGCTTTCTTGGGATTCCATACGTCAGCTGAGTACTTGTACTTTCCTTGGGATTCCCGAGGGTCGTGAGGGCAGACCCTCTGCCGATTTGTCAGTTTGTCTGATTCTGGCCTTGATAATCGGAGGGTCTTCCCCTCTTCACCCAAACTGTGTTTGATGTTCATACAAATTGGATATGATCGCTGACACTCCGGCAATGTGTTTCCCTTCTTTGGGTTCCGTTTTCTGTACAACCCCCCCCTCCCTTCTCTCCTCCTCCCCTCCCCCCCCTCAGCACATGCGAAGATGGAATTGCGAACGTTAGGCGGCTCCCGCGGCTCTAAAGTGCATTCAACTGATCGAAGGGCAGCGGCTGCACCAAAGGTTGCTCTCATGAGGCTGAACAGAGTCCATAGAATCCCCAGGTATGAATATGGACACAGCTCGATTTTGTACTTCAGCATCTGTAGATATGCAGCCAGCAGTATCCTGTTTGTTTTCTTTTTTTTCTCTTTTCCATTTTTATTTTTCATCTCCTCCTCATGCCAACGGGAGACAGGGAGGCATTTGGGAGAAAGTGGAGACAACAGTCAGGGGAGCGATGTGGGCCATGCCGCTGCAAGAGCAAGAGAGAGAGAGAGAGAGAGAGAGAGAGATGAGTGAACGCCATGATGTGAATCGTGGCGAATACATCCCAAATATACGAAAGCTAACAACACGAGCAGTGAGCCAATCGTAATTGTGGCGAATCGCATGGAGAAACAGGACAAGAAAGTTGAAGAAACCAAGAAAAATACAGTGTCCGCATCATATGGTTATAGACCAAAACAGACCTACATCCCACATAGGAAAGCTAAGAACACCAGCAGTGAGGCAAAAGGATTGCCCGGGGACGCTATGTCACAAGGCAGCAAGGAAAACGGCAGAAGGCAGCGAGCGAAAAGCAGCAAGGCGAAGGCAGTGGGGCAAAAGGCAGCAAGGCAGCGGACAGAACCAACCAGGCAAGCAGCATCGGAAGATAGGGCGGCGAGGAGGCAAACGTCAGAAGAGCAAATGGTGATGAGATGATGAATGACAAGCGGCTGCAAGGCACATAGGCTGGACTCTGGAGGGCAGGGGTGAGACGGGTGGGCAAACAAACAGCACGCGACAACGAGGGAAAAGGCATGAAGTCCAGGGGTACCAAACTGAGACCACCCACTGAATGGCCTCTACAACACCCTGGACTTCTTTCTCGAGGGAAAAAAAAAAAAAAGAGACCGGAACTGTATAATCAAAGACCGGCAAAAGAAAAGAAACAAACCGATGATGGGAGATCGTTTCGCCGGACTTGCACAGACTCATCAGGAGGCTGAACCCTCGACAATCTGTGGGATCCCCATATTAATGCTACAGGGGTCATGAACCCTGTGACCCTTGTTGAAAGCAGACCACTCGTGGTTAATGGGTGGTGTTGTTTTTGGCAAATTTTTCACCGAAACTGTCATATGATATTTCCCTGAATTATAAATTTTTGCTTTTCTGAGTTTCTCTTGTTGTTGTTTTTTTTGTGTGTGATATGTATGTGTTTGAGGGTATATGTGTGTTCAGTTTTCGCGTATTTGGACAAGTAATGAAAAAGTTGGCAAAAACAGTTTAAAACACCGAATTCGGGAAAAAAAGCGGCGAACTCCGAAAGCTACTCCGAATAATGCTTTTGAGTTTTTTTTTTCTTTTTTCTGTTTTTTTGTTGCCTGATTCGTTTTTTGATGTTTGTATTATGAGCCCGCATAGTTTGTTCGCAAACTTTTTGACAACATTGTTGGTAGTGATGCGGCGAAAAACCCCGAATTTTGGGCCTTCCATTAACCGCGTGTCACGCAGACTGCCAGCAGGCTACACCAATCAGAACATAGCTGCACAGTGTGCGCAACAACGCAGGCTTACTCAGCAATGCTGCCGGCCCGAGCCAACTGCACAATGTCATAGGTAACCCAGCATTGTGGACGGGCATCGATTGACGGGCGATAACACAGTGAAGCACAAGGCGACACTGCGAAAGCAGGCAAACCACATGGAACGTGAGTAGAGCTCACAGGAAGACAAACCACGCAGAGGGCAGCGCAATGAAGCACAAGGGAACACACCAGCAACACAGCCGAACCACACGGGACACAAGTAAAGCTCACGGGAGGACGAAGCACGCAAAGGCCGGCGCAGCAAAAACGCAGCGAAGCACAAGGCAGCGCTAGCAACAACACAGCCGAACCACACGTCAACACACTAGCTGCAAAGAACGACATGGGCAGCAATTGGGACGGGGGCAGCAGGGCAGCCATGGAGCATAGACAAGGCAATCTACACATCCAATTCGGACCAAAGCATTACGTCATGTACTCACACCACCACAAGTGACCACCACAGACTGTTGGTTCCCACCACATTCTGAGTCAGGCAGGCACTCCGACGAACTTCTGCCATCATCGCCTGTACGAAACACAGACATCCCGAACTGGGCAGTCCCCCTGATAGTGCTGCAGGCTCTCCAAACAAGGAAAGATGGACTTTGGTCTGACTATTTGGCACTGCTGGAGGGTGCTCAGTTAGACCCGCAGAAAGTAAGAATAAATAAGAGAACAAAGTTGTACATAAAATTGATTGATTGTGTGTGTGTGTGTGTGTGTGTGTGTGTGTGTGTGTGTGAGAGAGAGAGAGAGAGAGAGAGAGAGAGAGAGAGAGAGAGAGAGAGAAGTTGCTTGCTTGTTTCCTGGGGAGAAAGTCACTTCTCATCTGTGCAGGTGTGCCGCCGTCTAACATTGTTTAGTGTGTCCTTTTCGCAGATCATCATTGAAGCTACAATGTGAGGCCGCTTCATTATGTACAGGGTCCTCGCCGCTTAGTGATGGTAATCCAAGACGTGCGATCATCATAAATTATCATGAACAATATTTGCCTGCTGCTGCAAAGGTATACCCACATGTTATGAGTCGTGCACTTTGCCCTCATTATGCATTTGCATTTGCCCACATGGTGGTACATCTACGTGTGTAATCATGCGTTTTACGCTGTTTGCAGCACGTGTTCGTGCACATGTATATACGCATGCGATTCTCTCTTGCATACTCCCTCATTCACTCTGGCATCTCACATATCATGTCTTATGTGTGAAAGTTGTGTGTGAAAGTGTCCACAATCGATATGGATTCAGAGTGTGTTTGTGATGTTTCTTTGTGTTCCAGCCGAGGGATGTGCACACTTTCTTTCTTCACACACAAAGACATTGCTGCGTGTTTAGAATAAAGAAGCAGCCATGTCTTGCTTTCGGTGAGATGGATTGAAATGTGAAAGTGTGTATGTGATGTGCCTCCGTTTCCATGTCTGAGGGAATGTGTTTGGCTTGACAAGCCTCGCCGTGCAAGAACGCACATTCATACAAGTCTTCGCAAACTTGCGGGGCACCTGTTAAACGACTTGGAACGGCACGGAGAAAAAGATCATCTCAGTTGGTCGATCTGTGACCCGAATTCAAATTGGGGGGGGGGGGGGGGGGG